AAAACCCAAAAACTTACCTGATGCAACACCAAATGCACATTTCTCGGGATTTAACATATTAAATTTGCGCAAAATTGAAAATGTGTCAAATAAGTGTAATGTAATATGTGATCTTTTGAATACTCAGTTTTAACAAGCATATCATCTATATACACTTCCATAGTTTTTCCTAAATGCTCTTGAAATATTTTGGTAACTAACCTCTGATACGTTGCACATGCATTCTTTATACCAAAGGGCATTACTTTATAACAGTATGTCCCCCTATCTGTTATGAATGAAATTTTTTCTTCATCTCCCGAATCCATTTTAATCTGATTATAACCTGAATATGCATCTAAAAAAATTAATAGCTCATGACCTGTAGTTGCATCAATCAATTGATCTATGTGTGGTAGTGGAAAAGAATCTTTAGGGCATGCGTTATTAAGATCTGTGTAATCTACACAAACCTGCCACTTACCGTTCTTCTTTGGAACTACAACAGGATTAGCTAACCAGTTAGGATACTTCACCTCACGAATGGAACCAATTTTTAGCAATTTTTGGACTTCTTCTTGAATCCTGACTCATGAAAGTTCCTTGCTTTCTTTTCTTTTGCTTAACAGGAGGGTATGATGGGTCTTCATTTAATTTGTGAGTCATCACCTCCAGTGGTATCCATGTCATGTCAGAGTGGGACCAAGCAAAGCAGTCCACATTAGTTTTCAAAAATTCAATTAACTTACCTCTCATGCCTTGGCTAAGATTGGCCCCAACGTAGACTTTCTTATCAGGCCATTGAGCAAATAACACAATAGGCTCTAATTCCTCTATTGTTGTTTTGATATTTTCATTCTCTTCTGGTTCTTGAATGGTATCAGGCCTTGAATCTACATTTGTTGCCCCTGTTCAGTTGAGGTTTGTGTTGTGTTGTCCTCAAATGCCTTCTGTGATTGCTATTTTTCTTCATTTCTCGTGCTTGTATCTACAACGGAGTTGATAGTCCTGGATGTATGTTGATCTCCACGAATTTGACAAATTCCCCATGGCGACGAAAATTTGATAACTTGATGCAAGGTTGAAGGAACTGCATCCATCTCGTGGATCCATGGTCTCCCAAGGATCATGTTGTAAGCCATCTTCATATCTACTACCTGGAACTTTGTATCTTTGTCGACTCCTTCAGCGAATGTGGTGAGTGTTACTTCTCCTTTCGTCACAACACTAGAATTATCAAATCCAGATAGAGTATGCGCCTTTGGTATTACTTTATCTTCAACTTTCATCTCACGTAATACTCTTAGCAAAATAATGTTCACGGAACTACCTGGATCAATCAAGACTCGTTTTACATTAGTATCATATGCAATAAGAGATATTACCAGTGCATCGTTATGAGGGGTTAATATGTCATCTGCGTCTGCATCATTGAATGTAATGTTGTCTTCCTCTAAGATATGCCGCACCCATTTCTTTTGGGTAATTGTAACTTTGAAAATTTTGTTAGCTGCAGTATATAATATACCATTGATGTCTTCACCCTCACTTATAACGTTGACAATTCTTTTGGGGGAAGGTGGTTTTGGAGGTTCCTGCCTGTTCTTCATGTAAGCTTGCTTCCCTTTCTCACTGAACAACTCAGTAAGATATCCTTGTTTCAATAAATGATCAACTTCACTTTGTAAAAATCTGCAGTCTGTTGTTTTATGCCCGTGATCATTATGAAACTCGCACCAATGATCAGGGTTGCACCTATTTGGATTCGATCTCATTTCTTTTGGCCATCGAACCTTATCACCCATGCTTCTCAAAACAGCTACAAACTCGGAGGTGCTGACGTTAAAATTGTAACCACCGAATCTTGCTTTTAAGTTTTTGTCATCATCTCGTGACTCATAGTTGTTTTGATCGTTCCTAAATCTTGATGAAGAACCTGATTCTCTATTCCTTGATCTGTGATCATACCTTTGATTGTCCTGCTTTGACCGTGAGTCTTTTCCCGCAGGTCCCATATACGGCTCGCACCTATTTTTACCAGATCTTTTTTCGGTCTCCGCACTTCTCGAACTTACCTTTTCTTCTTTTTGAAATCGCGGAACAGTATCTTTTTCGATCCTCAGCTTCGTGTTATACCTGTTATAAATATCATTCCACGTTGTAGCTGGGAATTCACGAAGGCTTTCCTTGAGTCTCCTTGTAGCTTCCGAGTTTTTCTCATTCAAGTTGCTTGTGAAAGCTATAGCTGCCCAATTATCAGGTACACAGGGTAAGGTCATTCTTTCACGTTGGAATCTGTCCACGAATTCTCTAAGCAATTCTGAGTCCCCTTGCTTGATCTTGAAAATATCTTCCATTCTTTTTTCGACTTTTTGAGCTCCCGAATGTGCTTTAATGAAAGAATCTGCAAGCTCAGCAAAAGAGTTTATAGAATTTTCGGGTAAAAGAGAATACCATGTTAATGCACCCTTGGTGAGTGTTTTACCGAATGTTTTGACTAATACTGATTTAATCTCCTGCTTAGTCAAATCGTTGCCTTTTACGCCTGTTGTGAATGAAGTTATGTGATCTCGTGGGTCTGTTGTTCCATCGTATTTTGGAATATCAGGCATTTTAAATTTCTTTGGAATTGGAAGGGGAGCAGCATTTGGCTTCCAAGGTTGTTGAGAATATTTATCCATATGTACCTTTGATTACGGGCGGCACCCGGGTATTTGCTATATGTGGTCACTTTGCTCCTTGAGCTGTTTCTGCAATGTTATTACTAAATTTTGCAAATCTGAATTAACTAAATTACCTGGTTCTCCCTCTTGCGATTCACTGGGGTTTCCACCGATACCTGAATTAACAAGCCCGGAACGAGGGTTCTCTAGAGTGTTGTTATTTGGAGTACGTGTGGGTGGTGCAGCAGGTAACTGGCTAACCAAGGCCTGAACGGCTTTATTGACTTGTGCGGTAATAAGTTTTTGCAAAGCCTCATCCATAGCTTCAACATTTTCGAATTGAGCATGTCCATCTGTATGAGATCTATTAGGAGTGCCTTCACGAGATCGCCGAGGAGAGCCTCGTGGAGAAATAATCAGTGCGTTATTATCCTGAGGGTCTCTCTGAAGTTGTTGGTTTGTATGGTTTTCTTGGTTTCCTTGAATGTTGTCATTGTTGTTCAACATAGTTGATGCAACAAGGAAAGTTAAGCGAAAAGAAAATAGATTATCAGATTCTCGGTAACAGAACCAATTTGTTTAACCAAAAAATAAAATTTTAGTCAAAGCTAGAGTTTAGAATAACACGAGTTACTGATAATCGAAAGAATATATAAAAAAGAGTAATTTGGGTAGCAAGAATACAATCAGGAGAAAAAAAGGTAAACCAAAGTATATTCCAATAGTGTTTCGTGTCCCTACAATTGATCAATTATCTCCCTTTTATAGCTATTTGGGAGATATGCGTTTTGCCCTTGTCTTAACAAGGCTATTATGAGTAATTAAAGACATTGAATGCTACGTTACACAATCATTGTATTTAATACAGATTCTCTAACGTATTCAGTATTTAATGCTCATTAAATACTGTATCTGAACTCTCATATATTGTCAGATTCATCCCCCTTGATTCCCTTACCTAAATGACTTAAATAGATACGGGCGCCGAGTCCTTTGAATATCTGTCCGTGTCTCTTCCTTTGCCTTTGCTCGTATCTGTTGCAACTCGTGCCTCTTTACCAGTTGTAACTTTTTGACTAGTCTACATATCTTGACACGTCATCTTTATATGTAAACACAATTTTTCCCAATACAACACTAATAGCAAGTAATAATAAGAAAAGATAGTAAAAGAGAATATGAAAGAAGTACTGTAAAGTGACTATGGAGTAAATGTAAAGTGAAAGTAGCACGAAAATATTAGAGTTCATAGCACTTCTTCTTCATAAGCAAGACATATCCACATAGCTTGTATGACTCAACATATCTAATTTCAACCAAGCAACAATTGTTCAAATTTTTTGTTGATGTGGGGAAGCCTTGGTATACAAGTAGTAGACAACAGATAAAGATATGGTTATCTAAGCAAGACACCTTTCAAAAGGTTTATTGTTCCTAACATATTGAATTCAGGTCTCTTTCTTCCATTGTAGAACTGAAAAGTACAAAATGTATACTACAATATGCAGTCTAAAGAATCGCACAAATTCACCGAGGAATCAGATTCACTGTGAGAGTAAACCTAATATTATTTGTGATTCACCTTTACATGTTTGTCTATTCAATGAGCAGTGGTTTAGTTTTCCTCTGATATCAGGAAGGAAGAACCAAATAATAGCAAGAACAAACTAAAGAAAATTGACAAGGATAAGCAAGCTGTACAAGGATCGACAGAGCAGGAATGGCCAAATTCAGAATATTAACATAGCCAAGCTGTACAAGGATAGTATGAGCTCAACAAAAAATGGCTGAATCACTGCATTTACAGAGACCATCCCCACAAAAAATTTCAGGCAACCAACATTTGTCGAACTGCCAGACATACATGACAAAGTGTAAAATTAGAAATATCAAACAACCACTACAATTAGACCACTTGATGGTTTGACTTTAAATGAAAATAGAGAAAAACATTCGAGACCGAACTGCAAAACAATCCCAACAGCAAATTTTGCAAACAAAACAATGATCTTGTTCTCAGACATTCTTGGAATTAGAGAAAATATTTTTGATTCTTCGAATCAATTGTGAAAGCCCTAAGACAATCACAAGCAACGAATGTAACAAACTCTTATCACAGTCAAACAATGTACTCCAATTCAGCAGTTATGCAGATAAAATCCTATCACTGTCAATAGGTTAATTCTCATCTACTGCTTTAACATAGTTCATCAGAAGTCAAAACAATTGATGGGTATTGAAAGTTCATTGTCGATGACATTTACTTACTGAATCAAATGCAAAAACTTTAAGCATGTTGTTTCCCATTTCCTCATGCGTTTCCTGGATCTGCTTGGCAAAAGTCACAAGAGAATAGCAGCATTTATGCAACTCAATTAGCTACAGCGTCACACTATCTGCAAATTCTTCTGGGATCTTTTGTAAGTTATCGCAATCTCTGATGTACACACGCTCAAGGCATTGGAAACAATCATCGGTGGATGTCCAATAATGAAGATCCAGATACTCAAGGAGTAAGAACTTCAATTTAGGGAATCCTGCCTCTGTTACTTCCCAATCTTCACCTAGGGAGGCAAATTCCTTCAGTTCGAGCACCTCGAGATTGGGCAACTTGCTAAAAATGTTTATGCAGTTCCAAGAAAGTTGAGTGCGGACAAGTTTCAACTTTTTGAGATTTGGTGGGAAAGAACCTATGCTTGGATTTATTAAACACGGCACATTGTCAGAACTTTCGCCGTACCGAACTGCAACAGTTAGTGCCTCGAGCGCTTCTAAATATTTAAGATTATTATGCCATCCAATCTCACTATGAAATTCCCCTGGTTTACCAGCAATTTTCAATTTCTTCACTTTCTTAAACCCTTCAAATATTTCCTTTGTGCAACAAGAAGGTATCAACCCAGAAACGGTTTGTAAATTTTCCAAAACCAAGTTCTTCACCTCATTTTCTGACGCCGTCTGAGGAGAGTACAAATACATACACCAACAATCGAGATGCCTTAACTGAGAGAGGTTCCAAATTCATTTGGTAAGGACATGCTCCAAACATTATTGTATTTTGAATTTGGACGAACAACAAGAGTTTGTAAATTCCGAAGTTCATAAATTGATAATCGTGCAGACTCACCAATCGTCAATGTTAAATACCTTAAAAGAACTAGACCTAGTATAGCTAAGGGAAAATCGGGATATTTATTTTGCTCCACGTATACTCTAAGAAGTTTGAATGAAAAGAATCTTAAATTAAGGTCCGTATCAAATTGGTGGAGAGAAAAGGAACGCAAATAAGGAAGATCATGAAATCTAAGGCGTCCATAAGTGGATAGTTGTCTTGATACCCACCTACAACCTTGAGGAAAAACGCATCCGGATCCTTTAATTTTGGTATTCTCAACATACAAAACACTCTGGCTGTCGGCTTCTCTCAAGCAGAAATCATGAACAAGATCATGAATCACACATGTCATGATTTTACCATCCATACCTTTACCTTTAGGAGTCCCTCTACAACCCATAATCTAATCAACTTTTCCACAGAAATATCGCTAGCTTTTGGAAAAATTCCAAAATACAGAAAGCAACCTTTCAAATAAGAAGGAAGATGATTGTAGCTTAAAGCCAGGATTCCTGAGCATTGTTGATAAGCATCAATTTTTGCTAATGAGCTCACACTTTCAGCTACTTTTCTCCACTCTTCCAATGTCCTCTTGCTGGAGAGAATCTTGGCAACCACAACAATCATAAGTGGTAATCCGTTGCAGTTTTTTGCAACCTCCTTTCCAACATCCTCGAATTCAACTGGAAAACCTTTTCCTACAAATGCTTTTTGGTAAAACAAATTCCAACTGTCATCTGAGTCAAGTAAATGCATCCTGAAAGGATCCTTCCGAGAGCTAGCATATTGAGCAACCTCAACGTCTCGAGTAGTCAACAGTATCCGACTTCTTTTACCATCGTCTGGAAGACACAGTCTAATATCATCCCAAGCTTCCTTGCTCCATATGTCATCCACAACAATTAAATACCTTCGACCCATTAAACTTTGTTTCAAGCAAACGGCTAAATCTGAATCGCTTTTCTTATCAAGCTCTTCTTTTTTCCCAAAATTAGCATCTGTAAGTAGGCCTAAAAGCATCTTTCTATAACTATAGTCCTCAGACACGATAATCCATCCACGGATGTCAAAAAAGCTCAAAACTGAGGGATGAGAAAACAGCCTTTTGGCAAAAGTTGACTTACCAATGCCGCCCATACCTGTAACAGAGATGACTTCCAGTTCAGTTGAGCCTCCAGTAAGTTGACTCATCATGTTTGATTGTTCAATGTTGTACCCCACCATATCGTTCTCAAGGGTTGAAGAATGCAATCGTAGTGAACTTGAATCACCATGCGAGGAATTTCCAGCTTGCAAATTGTTATTCTGAATGTGCGTGATGAGCTCTTCCTTGAGGGAATCAACATTTTCTATAGCTCGCTGTGAGATCTTAAAAAGACTCTCGAGGGCTTCCTTGAGAATATCCTCTTGATATAGTCTGTACCATAGTTCGTCCATAACCACATTTATTTGTGGTTTAACTTCGTCTTCTGCTTCATATGCTATGAATTTGACCTTTTCATACAAATTCTCCATTTGTTCACCATCAGAATGATCAAGAAACTCTTGCAGACAATCAACCTTCTCGTGGAGTAAATTCAAACTTTTCGCATTTGTGTCCCACAGATCCAAGTTTGATTGCATGTCTTCTGCTTCATTTGCTATGTGTTTGACCTTTGTGTGCAAATTCTTCATTTGCTCACCATCAGAATAATCAAGAAGCTCTTGCAGAGAATCAAACTCTCCGTAGAGTAAACTCAAACTTTCCACATGAGTGTCCCACATATCCAAGTTTGATTTCAAAAGCTCTATTGTTCCCATTAGAGAAGTCACTGCAACATAAGCAGCCATCTCTATCTATACTTCTGCCTGCAGTAAAGGACGTCCAGATTAGCGAATGAAGCACGTTGGACTAAGCAGCACTTAGAATGACAAACATGACTAATACTAACATTGAACTGTATCGCATACAATACAATACAAGTTGTCATTTTTTAGGCTTAATACATATTTCACTTCTCTAACATGCACAAAAGTTCCTTTTACATACATTTTCTTTGCAGACAACATATTACATACCTTAGGTTGCAATAGAGGCGGATCCAAAAGTTTAAGGTCATGCATGCACCACTAACCTATTATCCAACACAACCGTGGACTAAAAGTTTGACTATGCCTCATATGTTTAACGCATACCTTTCTATTATTTGGGATGCCCCCGACCAAGAACTGGTGTACTTCTATCATACACCATATAAATATACTAAGAGGCAGACCTATGTGTTTGGAGGAGAGGGGTTACCGGACCCGGTTAACTTCCGCAAAAATTCTGAATATGTGTGTGTGTATATATATATATATTGAAAACCATCATATATTTTACTTGAAACCTTTAAAATCAAAATGCAGAAGGAGGCACAGGTTGAGCAGTTCACTCATGTGTCCTTGCCACCTTTAAATCCTGGGCCCGTACTTATACTATTTATCACCAACTCTATAAGGCAAATTGGACAAATGGTACAAAATACTCAATTATAATTTAATAGAAGAAAATGACTCTACAAAGATCTAATTATTTTTACATTACCAGTCTCCTACATTTTAACACAAAGATCTCTTGTGAAATGGTTCATATCATATACTCCCTCCATTCTAATTTATGCGAACTTGTTTGACTGGACACGGGATTTAAAAAAAATAAAAACTTTTGGAATTTGTGGTCCTAAACAAGTCAAAAAAGGATCCAAAGTATTTGTATGATTATAAAAATTTCTCATTAAGGGTAGCATTGGAAGTTTAAGCTAAATTATTTCTAAATTTAAAAAGGGGTCATTCTTTTTGGAACGGACCAAAAGTGAAATAGGTTCACATAAACTGGAACGGAAGGAGTAACTATTGGACCTGGCAAATTGAGAAAATGGTGCAAAATAACCCATTATAATTTGAATAGACGAAAATGAACACACAACGATCTAATTGGTTTTCTTTTTCCCTTTCATTTTCTTTCTTTCTCCGTTTTTGTCCCCTCTTTTCTTTAATTAAAGTTTTCCTCCATTAAAGACCACCTTCACCAGTTCTCTGCCTGATTTGGTGTCATGTTGAAGTGTGTGACCATCTCATCTAAAAGTTTAAACTGTTAGAGAGAACACACTTTTATTTAGTAGTTAATTTCCTCTTCAATAGAAACCACCAATTAAATCTCCATCTCAACCAATAAATCACATATCTTCACCATTTCTCCATACAAGACACATTGCATAACCCAGGTTTTGGGTAGCACCTTTAGCATTACAATTCTGAAGGATGCATAACGGTGTTTTTACTGAAAATTAAAGTTTTCAGAACTGAATTATACTGAGAATTTGTGAAAGACCCAGTTGCAGATGATAAAACTATTTCTTCTTCGAAAATGATTTTATTCATATCAAACACATTTTTTTCTTCTTTTTAGAACCCAGAAAAACTCGCAGCCGCTACAACCTCTACCACAGCTTCTGCTTTTCGGGCGAGCACTCTGTACACACTAGGTAAACCGCCACTGAGTAACCTGCAAACTATACAGAGGATGTAAACTGCATACACTAGGCAAGCCTATGCGACAGGCTCGACCCAGAAAACATTGAGGGGATCCATCCCAGGTCATCTGTACGGATGACCGCCCTCCAAACGAACTGGGTCATCCCAAAGAGACATATCTAACACATTATAGACATGAAATTGCTCATTTTTTTAAGAACAAGACAGAGAACATCACAAGTCAAACTAGAGCTCCATATATAGCAATGCAATATAGTTTAACATAAACAGAATTTTGAGTACCTTAAAACGGAGATCTAACAGCTCTAGCTTTTTTTGGTTGTCAACCCCATTTGTTTCCCCTAGATGAAAGTCAACTTAAATCTCAGCAACTAATAATAGATATTTAGAAGTAATACCAACTTGTAGCTATTAATTAGTATTAAATAACAAGGGATGACACATAAATAGTAATTCATGATTTTAATTGCACATGCTTTCTTTCCACTTTGCTTTAGCTAGAGTCAATTGCTTCCAACATCGAAGCCAGAAATTTTTCAAAAGTGTTTAACCTTGAAAGAAGAGAAAATAAATTTTACAACAAAGGTTGTTCAATATAATGTTATGAATTTTTACCTCCTATAGCAAAGCTTAAGACCTTATTTATTTTAAATAAATACCATTTAAAAAAATTATATTCTATAGATATCTTTTAAGGTTTATAGCAAAATATTTAATTTTGATTACCTCCTAGCCCTAAGCCACTAAATACACTAATCAGTTACACTATTTTCTTTCTCTCTCTACTTTGATATATCCCATTCTCTTCCTCATCCCATTAAAATTTCCGATCTCCTCCTCCTTCCACCGGATTTGTGCAAAGCCCACTTCAGAAATTGCTCCAGCTCCCGCATCCGACGACTGCAACGGCATATTCCTAATGGTTAATCAATTATTCTTAGTGAAAGAATGTTTACTTTCTGCACACGATCTAGCAGTGACGAGCTCAACTGTGTATGCGATAGATTGGTAATTTGGTATTTGAACTTAAAGGACAACTCCACAAACAGGGAATAGAATTTTGGTTTTTCCTGATTCAATAGCATAGTGGTATTTTTTGTTCAATCGATTCGGGTTAGGTTAAGTCCTTATTTCAATTGGATTGGATCTTTCTCGTTTTCTTTTCTTTCTCCATTGTTGCTTATGGAATCATGGTCGGAATCTGATGAGTAGTCGGAAAATTATAGACTAAAATAGGTCGTTGAAGTTTGGGGTTGAGCAATTTGAAGATTTTGTTACCTTTTTTTTTAAAGCATTTCAATGTATTTCGCTGTATTTCTATCTATTTCATTGTATTCACTATCTTTTTTTTCTTTTTAATTCAATGTATCTCGTTGTATTCCATATATTTCATTGTATTCAGTGTCTTTTTTTCTCATTGTATTTCAATGTATCCCTCTGTATTCTATCTATTTTATTGTATTCATTGCCTCGCTATATGCTATGAATGTATTCGACTGTATTTTTTTAATTAATATAATTTATGTATTCAGATGTATTATATAATTTCTCTGAAGATTGCTATGTTTTTGGGTATTTTGCGGTTGAGAATCTTTTTTATAACTGAAAAATACAAAATTTGTGTGTTATAATTGGGTTTGTAGAGTTATATTAAGAGTCTATTATGTTAATTGATTCACTTTCCGTTTTAAAAACAGTGTCATCCCCTATTTCATGCCGTGAATACAGTTGAATACAATAATATGTCCAGCTGTAATCTCATGTTTCACTCCATGAATACAGTCGAATACACTCGAATAAACAACTGATTAGTTGGACTTCCCTAATTCACGTCTATTTTTGCTACTGTATTCATGAATACAATATCTTAAATACATTAAATACATCTTATAACCACTGTCACACCTCCTTTTTGCGCGCCCGGCCCCGAAGGGTAAAATGCGCGAGGGAGTTTTTCCAATTTAAGTGACAATATTCGAAATGAGATTATTTATTTAATTCAGAGTCGCCACTTGGGAAAGGTTTGGTTTTTGGTGTCCCAAGTCACCAGTTTGTCTTGAATCCCAATTCGAGGAAAATATTCGACTTTCCAAATGAAGTCTGCGAACCAGAAATTCTAAGTAAGGAATTCTGTTGACCCGAGGGAAGGTGTTAGGCACCCTCGAATCCCGTGGTTCTAGCACGGTCGCTTAAATTGTTATAATGGCTAAATATCTGATTTAAATACATGTTGTGACTTATGCACTTTTATTAAGTTTAAAACCGCTTTTATTATTATCATTTATTTTTATAGAATTGCAACGTCGTGAAAATGCATCTCGAACCACGTCACAATCAACGCACCCGTAGTTGTTAACATATTTCGACTCTGTTGAGATTTGAATTTGGGTCACATAAATGCGCACCCGAATTTAAGAATGTAATTTAATCAAATCGCGCCTAAAGAGTCTAACGCGTTATTATCTTTGGGGAAGGCAGTGAAATTCACTAAACAGTCCATCCCAAATTCTAAGTATTTATTATGATCAATTATTGAGGGCCCTACAATTTGCATTTTTATTTGGCGAGGCTCGTGTCATTATTTTTAAAAGGATAATCTTAGCATAACTACATTTTCTATTTTTTTGTTTTCTAAAATAAATGAAGATAAGGTCCTACTTTATTTACATANAACAACAAACAAACGAACGAAATTTTCTGCCCCAGTTTCACTAGGAAAATTTCGTGAGTTAATTGTCATGAAAATTTACAGCATTGATGAGGGGATTGGAAAAATTAGTCTGCAAAACGCAACTCAGAGGCTGGAGCCCTAATATCGCCAAAGGTAAAAATGCTCAATTCAGGGTTGGGGCCCTAATGCTGGCTAAACGGAAAATAAACGCTCAGTTCAAGGTTGGAGCCCTAATGCTGGCTAACAGGAAAATGCTCAGTTCAGGGTTGGAGCCCTAATGCTGGCTAAATGGAAAATGCTCAGTTCAGGGTTGGAGCCCTAATGCTGGCCAAACAGAACAAATGCTCAGTTCAGGGTTAGAGCCCTAATGCTGGCTAAATGGAAAATGCTCAGTTTTGGGTTGGAGCCCTAATGCTGGCTAAATGGAAAATGCTCAGTTTTGGGTTGGAGCCCTAATGCTAGCTAACAGAACAATGCTCAGTTCAGGGTTGGAGCCCTAATACTAGCTAAATGAAAAATGCTCAGTTCAGGGTCGGAGCTCTAATGCTGGCTAGCAGAAAAAATGCTCAGGCAGATTCACGGGTTATGCCGGAAAAGGTCCACGGGTTATGCCGGAAAAGGTCCACGGGTTATGCCGGGAAGATTCATCGGGTTATGCCGGAAAGGGTCCACGGGTTATGCCAGGAAGATTCATTGGGTTATGCCGAAAGATTAATCGGGTTATGCCGGAAAGATTCATCGGGTTATACCGGAAAAGGTCCACGGGTTATGCCGGGAAGATTCACCGGGTTATGCCGGGGAGGTTCATCGGGTTATGCCGGAAGATTCATCGGGTTATGCCGGAAAAGGCTCATCGGGTTATGCCGGAAAAGGTTCATCGGGTTATGCCGGAAAGATTCATCGGGTTATGCCGGAAAAGATTCATCGGATCATGTCGAGAAGATTCATCGGATCATGCCGGGAAGATTCATCGGGTTATGCCGGAAAGATTCATCGGGTTATGCCGGAAGATTCATCGGGTTATGCCGGAAAAGGTTCATCGGGTTATGCCGGAAAGATTCATCGGGTTATGTCGGAAAAGATTCATCGGGTTATGCCGGAAAAGATTCATCGGATCATGTTGGGAAGATTCATCGGATCATGCCGGAAAGATTCATCGGGTTATGCTGGAAGATTCATCGGGTTATGCCGGAAAAGGTTCATCGGGTTATGCCGGAAAGATTCATCGGGTTATGCCGGAAAAGATTCATCGGGTTATGCTGGAAAAGATTCATCGGATCATGTCGGGAAGATTCATCGGATCATGCCGAAAGATTCATCGGGTTATGCCGAAAAGATTCATCGGGTTATGCCGGAAAAGGTTCATCGGATCATGCCGGAAAAGATTCATCGGATCATGTCGGGAAGATTCATCGGATCATGCCGGAAAATTCATCGGGTTATGCCGGAAGATTCATTGGGTTATGCCGAAAGATTCATTGGGTTATGCCGGAAAAATTCATCGGGTTATGCCGGAAAAGATTCATCGGGTTATGCCGGAAAAGATTCATCGGATCATGTCAGGAAGATTCATCGGATCATGCCGAAAGATTCATCGGGTTATGCCGGAAAGATTCATCGGGTTATGCCGGAAAAGGTTCATCGAGTTATGCCGGAAAAGATTCATCGGATCATGTCGGGAAGATTCATCGGATCATGCCGGAAAATTCATCGGGTTATGCCGGAAGATTCATTGGGTTATGCCAGAAGATTCATCGGGTTATGCTGGAAGATTCATCGGGTTATGCTGGAAGATTCATCGGGTTATGCCAAAAAAGGTCCACGGGTTATGCCGGGAAGATTCAAGAGTCCTCGGGTTATGCCGGAGATTTGGATAGAAAAAGCTCCTTGGGTTATGCTAGGGAGATCCGTGGTTTATACCGGAATAGTTGAGGAATGAGGTCCATGATTTGTTTCTCTTTTGGGGATTTTCATTTTTTTTCTTCTCGTCTCTTTTTTATTTCCTTTTTTATTTATCAAAATGCATGAAAGAGTTCTGGGGAAACTTACCTTCGGTTGTTCTCCCACTACAGAGTTGGTTCAATGCTCGCGCATTTCACTTCTTTCGGGTTGTACCTGCTTCTTGCATGGTTGCTTTGGATTGCACCTGTCTCAATTTTCCTAAACAAAGACAAATTGTCAGTTTGAAAACGGTGGTTGATTTGGTGGCCTTGATCGTTCCAATTGCTTGGTCTTGGACTAATTCCTGTTGAGAACTTTGCCATTGATTGGATTCACAGGCGACTTGTTTTAGACTGATCAGACTCGCATTTCCGGATTTGTGTAAGGCTTTGGTTCTTTCATCCCATTCTGCTTGGGGATTCTTTACGAGGCCAACTCAGTGGGGATTTTTTATTGGGGAGACTCTGTGGGGATTTGTACAAGGCAGACTCGTTGGGGATTTGCTGGGGGAGACTCTTTGGGGAATTGTACAAGGGGAGACTCTGTGGGGATTTGTACAAAGAGAGATTCTGTGGGGATTTTTTTTTTTTTTACAAAGGGAGGCCCTGTGGGGATTTACTTCGAAAGCAAATCAACGACATGATCAGTCGGGTTTGGACTAACGTACCATTAAAGCAGGGTATTTTATTTCTTACTATGGAGCTCCGTGAAACCAGTCCTGCCACCTTTTCTTTCCAGCACATTTTGGAATTTAGGGTTAAACGAAAGGGATTCAAAGAAAAGACAAAACAAAGAGCGGAGAAAAATGAATTTTAAAAAAAGAAATGTCCCTTTCGGGATAAGAAAGACTTATCTGAGGCAAACATGCTGACTTTAAGTTGACATGACATGTTTTTTGGACTGGATGCCCGACCTTCAAGAACTTCCATTTCCTTATGAACCAAAATGAATCTATGTTTTCAA